ACTTCAATCTTCTTTGGATCCGGCCGGCGTCCGCTCTTGTTGATGATACAACCTAAGTAAAAAATTTCTGGCATCAGAATTGCGTTGTTCCAACCTGACAATGGAATCCATAGTCCTTGATCGTCTTGAACAAGGCTCCCAAGTTTTGGCAGCGCTCTTCAAGGCTTCTTCCCGTTACGATTATGTCACGAAATCAGCTTCGCCTTCCAATCCGCTTTAGAATTCATTTCCTGCTGGAGAATGCCTGGCGCAGATTTCACTCCGAAAGATAGGCGATTGTAGCGGTACAGTCCCTTGTGCGTGTTTATGGTTAGCATCTCCTTTGAAGACTCTTCCACTTCTTGTGAATATGCTTCGGTAAGTCGAATTGTGTGAAGGTTAGACTTGATTTTGTACTCTTCATGCACTTCCCAGGTTGCTGTTGAAGACTTCCGCATACTTCTTCTTCAAGTCGGCGACGACTTCGGCTCGAATTTTCTCTTCGCTAATAACTTTTCTGCAATGATAGTTGTCCTCCACCTTTATGCCGGCAACCGGATACACCACTCTAATCCTAGCAGATTCGAGCCTTCGGTGACGTAGCAGGTGCCTTTTCCATGCACCATCTTCCTTGTGCCTATTTCTAGCAGAGAAATCGATTAAAAATCTACCATATATCTGTATTAGCGTCCCGTCTACAGTTTTAGCTGGCATAATACAGGTTTCCACAGCAGGCAATTTCATCCTTTTCCTGTCAGCCTAAAAAAGCGATCACATTCTTGCACTGTCTTTTGCCACCAAAGCGTTTTGTACCTATGTCGCTTCTTTCGAATGGTGTTTGCAAACCGAGGGCCTTCTCTTCTGAAATGTGGTCCTTCGCCTAGGAAGCAGTTTGCCTTTGTCTACCATACAGCATGAATGTCGCGTGCGCCTTCTATGTCAGTGTTATCCATCTTCAAGGCAACGAAATTTTCACAGTCACTGATAGGTCTTCGGATGTCAACGGTGCTTTGTCCGTGTGCATCCAGTCGACGAACCATCCGAGGGCGAATTTTCCGGAGTAAGGAATCTTGGAGACCCTCTACAAACTGCAGTGTCTTCATCGCCGTGTAGTCGAGCTC